AAAAAGTGTGTGTGCTGGGTGAGTGGGGTCCTTCATGATGCAGGTGGTCCTCTTCCTGCATCTGGAGGTGTAGATGTCTGTGATGGTGGGGAGACTGACTCCAACATCTTCTGTGCAGCCTTCACCACTTATGAGACATTAGGTGTATAAATTAATTAAACATTTCTGTCTCTGGAGGTGTCCCAAGGAAACGGACGTCTACAGTTCGAGGCCGGAGCCGGTGGAGAGGAGGAGGAGGGAGCGAGGAAGAGACAGGCGAGAAAAACATCGAGACTCGGACACTGGACGGTCGTCTCGTAGACACTCGGCTGCCTCTCATCGTTCTCAGGTAAGATGTCAGTAAATGCAGCTTCCATGACAAACGTTGAAGCAGAAGACAACATGTTGCCTGTTGTTCTGTGAAGACCTCTGAAGAGCCACGTGGAAAACATCAACCTCCAAAGGTGAAGGAGCGAGCTCGCTCCGAGCAGACACAGGTGAGCCCCCCTGCTCGCCCTCAGCAGCATAAATCACATGTTTCACAGGAAGTGGGTCATTCTTGATGTTTCTCTTCTTCTCCATGAAGCTGCTCTCTCACTGAAGCTCTAAAAAGCCACTACCGTCAGCGTTTTGTTTTAGGGCAGCACGTGCACATCATTTATCATCTTTATTAATACATTCAAGGACACTTGTGCACAAAGAAGTTTTGTTCCCTGCAGAGGGAGAACAGATGTTTTCTGCAAGTTGCTGTGTCATGTTCAGAACTGCTGCGTTAACGTCCTGTCACTACTTCTAACCACGTTTGGTTTTTCTGATCCCCACGTTACTCGTGTCCAACACGACATATTGCATGTGAGTATTTCATTTTGCTCTAACGAGCTCTCGACATCTGCGTGCTTTCAAACCATTCTACTTCACCAGTTCCTCTTTTGGACCATCTTCCGTTCATTCTGCCAAATGTTCAGCTGGTGTTTCTCATCTTCCTGCTTCAGAAGAACTCGCTCGTCTGCACGAGTTTCCTCTTTCTCTGGTTTCTCCGTCATTTGTGAGACAACGCACAGCAGAGCGTTTTCTAACGGCCTCACTTTACTGCACTGCAGGTGATGGAACTGGAAGGGCTGGATGTCCAGACTGGATGAACAAGGCGAGGTAAACACCTGATGTGGGACCATTTCACTCCGATACATTTAAAGAGGGATTGTTTTATTATCTTTAAGAAAGATCATGTGTGAGCAGGAAGTCATTGCTGTTTACTTTCCGCAGTGGAGGAAACACTGGTTTGTTCTCGGAGCTTCTTCCTTGAGGTTCTACAGAGACTCAGAAGCTGAGGAGGTCTGACCAGCAGCCACTTGTACTGGTTCATGCTCTGATCCCACGGAGCTCGATGATTGTTGGACTGACGTTGAGCTCTTGTTGTCACGCTGCAGTCAGACGATTTGGACGGGGAGATTCATCTGACGTCCTGCGTAAACGTGTGCGACTGTGACGTGGATCAAAACTATGGACTCCAGATCCAGGTCTGTTCTGAACTTTTCAAAACTCGTAGTCCACCCGCCCACTTCCTGTTCACAGACAGTCAGCTGCTTCCAGTTTAACACTGTGTGTGTGTGTGTGTGCGTGCGTGCGTGCGTGCGTGCGTGCGTGTGTGTGTGTGTGTGTGTGTGTGTGTTCCAGACAAAGTGTGCAGTGTTCACCCTTTCTGCTGTAACGTCCAGAATTCGGAGGAGCTGGCTGAAGTTACTGAAGCAGGCCATCCAGAACCACCAGCAGTGAGCAGAACTTCACGCACGCACGCACACTCACACACACACGCACACACACACACAGGTTTGTTTTGCTATCTTTGTGGGGCCTTTGCATTGACTTCCATTCATTTTTCATTCATTTCTATAGCCTAACCATCACCTTTATCCATAACCTAACCATTACCAGTACATACCTAACCCTAAACCTAACACATCCTCAATTCACACCTTAGTCCTAAACCTAGCCCGTAACCCACCAACGGGACTTCTTCTTATGGGGCCCGGGCTTTTGGCCCCATAAGGAGCAGTTGGTCCTCACAATGTAGTATAAGTTGGAAAAATGGGCCTCACAAAGTAGCATAAACAAGGACACACACACTCACACACACTCGAGCCCTGAAGTAAAATCTATTTGTGTTTTTAGAGACTTTGCTTGATTCACACGTTTATAAATCTTCATTTCAAGTGAAAGTCAGACACGTCCATCTGAGCCTCTGTGGAAACGTCATAGACAATCACTATCTTACCTGTTGTAGATAGCTCTTTGAGTGACCTCAGTCTGGAGGAGTTCAACTCTGACTGGACTGAAGAGCCAATGGCTAGTCTCTCAAAGATGCCACAGTGGCTCATTCAAACACCGTTTTATAAACCGTTAAACTCCAAGGGGGCACGTCCAGAGACATCTTTACATCCCCTTCGCTCTCATGGTTTAAAATTTCAAACAAGACGTTCAAATGTCAGGGCAGGACATTATCCTGGAGAAATCACCACGAGGACGAGAACTTCAAGCAGTGCAGAGAGGAACAGTTTCATTAGTAAGAGGAGGCGAAGAATGAAAAGCCCAAAGAATAAAGGTATAAAAGGTTAAATATTGATTTGCAGTTGGACTGAACAAATAAAATCAAGTAAAAAAATAATAATCAAAGGTTCAAAGAAATCATGAGACAGTTTATCGTGGCAGAAACGACCAAAAACACCCAAAATGAAGACATTTAAAAGCTATCAATAGAAAAAAATTCAATCAATCAATCATTCAGTCAATCAATCAATCAGTATAACTGTATTGACCATAACATTCCACGTGATGTAGATTTATCTTTGACATCTGGCTCATACATACAAAACAACACAAGTTAAAAAGGCTATAAAACTTTAAAAAGCTTTGCTAACCCAATAAAACCAGTTCTAAAATGCATTAAACCATAAAAGCATCCCAGCAGACGATGGTTCATCATGTGAGGCTGCAGGACCTGCTCACAGCACAGGCAACTAATGACTTTCTGTTCCATTCATCTTCACCAGTGGAACCAGCAGTCTGCTGCCAGATGGTTCCAACCTGAATAATGGTTGCAGTGGACGAGTCGGGTCATTGTGGACCTGTAGTGACTTTTTTCCAGAACCTGATTCTACAGGTCTGCAGGTGTCATTTGTTGATGACCATTGATTTTAATAATGATTCTGAGCACCCGGGACAACTTGTTCCTGTCTGTGGCTGGGAGGTTGCCACACCATGAGACAACACTACAGGAAACTTTTCAACCAGTGACCTGTACACCAACTGCAAGGTGTTTTTGTTTGCATCAAAGCTCCTCAGCTTACACAGAAGGTGGAGACGCTGTCTGGCTTTATGTAAATACAGTCGTGTTGGGGTCAAAGGTCAACTTGTTGACAATTATTGTTCCGAGGTATTTAAATTGAATCACCTGCGCTACTTCCTGTCCTTTTATAACAGAAGGTCTGAATACAGGTCTGGTGCTGGCTGCTCCCCATCGACCTCCCAGACAAAGCTCCTTGGTTTTACTGACATTAAGGTCCAGAAAACTGTCATCAGACCAGGTAGAGAACTGGTCTATGAGCTGGGAGTAGGAGGGGCTGCTGGTGTCTATCAGACCAGTAACTAGGACCATATCATCAGCAAACTTAGTTAATGTGAAATCTTTACTGTTATGTTGCAACTCATTTGTGTATAAAGAGAACAAAAGTGGTGATAGCACACAGCCCTGTGGAACACCAGCGTTCAAAAGCCTGCAGAGTGTTATCAACACAGACTACATGAACATGTACAATGTCTGCAACTTGAATGTTAAAGTAGTTTAAAATGTTAGGGATTTAAAATATTTAAACTCAGAAATGTACAAAAAGAAACTGTTGCTCCAAAAGGATCTGACTGGAGCTGAAGGTCTCGGTGGCTGGAGGTAAACAGTTCTTCAGACGTGTAACTCTACTCTCATGTGTTCCTGCTCGTTCTAAACTCAGCCTATCAGACTCCAGCAGCGAGAACCTGAACCCGCGGCCCCGCAGACCGTCGTCAGGCCAACCGTGCGCTCGCTTCACCCGCAGAGACTCTGGTTATGAAGCTGCCTCCTCAGCCACCTTCAACCAGGACGACCGCCGCTGCCAAACAGCGGGAGGAGGCCCCGGTGCAGACGTGTTCCCGGCCGGTCAGAGGGAAGACGGTGAGGGCTGGGACCGTGAGCAGGCGAAGCGGCTGGAGGAGAGGAACAAGTGGTTTGAAGCGGGGGCCACCATCAGTGAGATGAGCAGCAGGTGGGACTCCATGGAGCTGAAAAAGGGCAACGACCCCGCTGAAGCTGCAGACTCTGAGGTCAGCAGGAAGTGGGCGGAATTTGAGACGCTGTCATTCAGGGACCTGAGCGAGCCGTCTCTCTTTGGACCCCAGGCTTATCCGTCAAGCACCCTGCAGGAGTCAGAGTCTCCAGCCAGTTCCCAAACTTTCCATCGAAGCTCTGGAGAGGCTGGTCGCTCCGGCTCACAGACCAGTTTACCCACTTTAAATGAGGCTGCTTCTCTAAATGGTGTTGCGATGCCTCAGAAGAACGCAGCAGCTCTGCAGCAGGAGGTACGTTAGTCAAACTTTCAGGGGGGAAATCTAAATGTTGCATTTCTGGATGTCTCCTCTTCGTTGACTTCCTCTCTTTGAAAGCAGGTGGAGACCACCAAACAGGAGCGTGCAGCCTCACAGGTGGAGGTGGACAGCCCCTGTGGCCCCGGAGCTCCCTGCAGGGCCAAGCTGGGAGCCATGGCTGCGGCTCATCGACAAGCCCTGCAGGAGCTGCAGGAGAAACATGTCCGGGAGAAGAAGGAGCTGGAAGGAGAGAGAGACCGGCTGCTGCAGGAGAGGAGTCAGGCAGCTGCCAAGGGTTCGTCCAGAACTTCTAAATATTCACTGTGTTCCTGATCTCAGGCAGATAACTCCACTAACTGACTAAATGTTCATCAAAGATATGGAGGCACTGAAAGCAGCTCACAGGGAGGTGTTGGAGAGGGAGGTGGAGAAGGTCAGGAGGTCCTCTGGTGAAGCAGACCTTGTGGATTCTTCCTGCAGAGGTCACATGTAAGTTCACGCTGCTGATAAGTTCCTCTCAGGCTCTCTGCGACGGCGCCTCGTGATGGTGCGTCACAGCTGACCCCCGACCTTCGTGTGTTTGTGTCCCAGGCCTCAGGCTGACGTCTTGCACGGTGGGTTAAACGTAATGTCGGAGCGCTTCGCCCAGAAATGCCTGGAGTTGAACGGAGTGGAGCGGAGCAGCAAGAGCAGAGAGACCACGCTGGAGCTCAGGCAGAGAGAGCTGGAGCAGCTCCAAAGAGAGAACCAGGTTTTACTAACAAACCGTCGAGTCACGTCAATTTGGATTGTTGCATTATTATGGATAAATGATATCCTACCTGTCATAGATGGCACTTTGAAGATCTCAGCTTGAAACAGTTTCAGTCCAGCAGATGAGCTAACGGCCCGTCCACATGCAGATCAGGTCAACCCGTCTTCAGACACGGTTTCATGAACGTCCACTCCTCCAAACGTTTGTGTTCAACAGTTTGTGGTTGTGGACTCTCAGTCATCCCAGACATGATAGTCCTAAAGACACAAATTACTCTCAGTGGGGGGCGCAGCTTCAAAAACACCTAAATAATATGGTCTCCTGTTTTAACTCAGCTTTATACAATGAAATATGAAATTATGTGGTTATTTCCAAACAGCTAGTTTTTATGTTCAGCTTTGGGTCATTCTGGAAGAATTGTTCAAGACTTTTCTGCTAAAATAACTCTGAGATGCAACGTTTACAGTGAAAGTGTTGATTTTAGTTTTGCTGCTTTTAACGCTCGTCTTAGTCCCGCTGGGCTAGCCATGAGCTTCTTAGTCTGCTCAGGGTTAAAGTTTATTATGCCAAATTAAGATTATCTAAAGAGCTATGTACAACAGGTAAGATATTAAGTGTTCATAATATTAAATTGCTCTTCAGCATGTTTCAGTTCACAGCATCTCCTCAGAAGATAACATGAAACATGTTTTTTCCTGCAGGAGCTTAAGAACAAGCTGGCAGAAGAGATCAGTCGAATGCGTTATTTCATCACAGGTCAAAGGTCACATGTGGGATCTGTTTGCAGAACTGAGGACGCTGCGTCAGATTTGGAGGTACTGGGAGAAACATCTGGATCTGTTTCACTCCTGAGAAAAGTAGTTTTCAAGTCAACAAACGTCCCACATATTACTGTACGCTTTTCATTTTCACAACAGTCAGTTTGACTTGTTATAAAAATCATCATCATTATCTGGGAGAGACTCGGAGTAGAACCGCTGCTCCTCTGACTGGGAGGAGACCCCGACCAAGACCCAGGACACGCTGGAGAGACTAGGAACACCTGTCTGGGAACACCTTGGAGTCCTCCCAGAAGAACTGGCTGTGGACAGAGATGTCTGGCCCTCCCTGCTCAAGATGCTGCCCCTGAGACCTGACTTTGAAACAAACAGAAAATAAAGGAAGGAAGGAAGGAAGGAAGGAAGGAAGGAAGGAAGGAAGGAAG